CCGTGTGCGCGCTGCTCTTCCTGCTCTGGATCCGCGTGAAGGGGCTGGAGTTCGTGCTCATCCACCAGCGCTGGGTGTTCGTGTGTCTCTTCCTGCTGCCGCTCTCGCTCATCTTTGATATCTACTACTACGTGCGCGCCTGGGTAGTGTTCAGGCTCAGCAGCGCGCCGCGCCTCCATGGGCAGCGTGTGCGGGACATCCAAAAGCAGGTGAGCACTCCCGGGCGGGGTCCACCCCGGTCCGAAGGATGGAGCGGTGTGCGTGCTCCGCCGGGCGCGAGGTGCGGAGTGTTCTGCGGTGCAGGGGGAGCCCAGACCGCACGAGGAGATGACGTTCTAGGGGGATTTGAGCTCAGAAATGTGGTGGTGGGGGCTTCCCGGGGAGAATGAAGGGAATGAGCTGGTAGCTATCACCAGGCCGGAGCAATTTCTGTGGAGGGAAGGCTTGCAGGAGGTGGAGCTGGCTAGAGGTGTGAAGGAAGGCGGAGTGGGGAAGGAAAGTCAGGAGCTGAGTTATGGAGGGGACTTCAATTTAGAGTTTACTCTGTGCCACCAAGGAGCTTTTGACACATTAGAATAAAGGACCAAAGTGACAAGGTAGCACTTAGCCAAGGTGAGGAGCCTTGCAGCTCTGGGCCAGGTGCTCGCTCCTGGACAAGACAGTTGCCCACTTTCCAGCACCTCTGTACATCCCCCCGTGTGCCAGCCCCCACAGAGCCTTGTCCTGCTGCTGCTCAGAGCCGAGCTCCTTCTTGCTTCCAGGGCTGACATAGCCATCCGGCCTGGGCATGTTCTTGGCTCCCTCTGCCCTTCCTTATGTTCCTCTCTTACTAGCGTCAGGTTGCAAAGAGCTTCTGTTTCCTGCTAGCCGCCTCGCCACAGGTGTAGCAGCCTCCATGTTCTGTGTGCACCAAGCTGGGTGCTGCAGCAAGAATGTGAAGATGGATGTTCAGAGCATTCCCACAAGGGAGAGCGAACCCCGTGGGTGGAGTGGGAGAGGGCAGTGTCTGCAAGTGCTCTGCTTGGCTGCCCTGGGTTTTGCCGGTCACAGTCATGGCTCCAGAGCCCTGCCTACCCTCCCTCCCCAGCTGTACCCTCTTTCATAGCTCTTTCCCTGTGTTCAGATTCTCCGTTTAACTGTTTCTTTCCTCCATCAGATTATGTGCTCCTGGAGGGCAGGGACTGTTAGCCAACTCACCTCTGACCCATGGGACCTGGCCCAGAACAGCCCATTGAGCTCTTGTTTATTTAAACTAAACCAAAGGGGCCTGGCCAGCCTGGAGCACCACCCTGGACCTGCTGTGTCCATTCTTTCTAATCCTCACAGCAACCCTGGTAGGTCTTGTACCTATTCTACAAAACTGGGAAAAACTGAGGTTCAAACTAAGTCAGTGCTCAAGATGATATAGCTGGTAAATGGGGCTGGAACCCAGGTCAGCTGTTTACAGAGCCTGAACTCTGACATTTTTTCTTTCCCATCCCATTCCATTCCATTCCACCCTGTAGGTCTGGTTCTGTTGCCTCACACCTGGCATGTACCAGTAATAGCTACCGAACTAGTTGCCTCTGTTGTGGGCCCTCACCACCTCTCCTTGGCATGTACATGGCCACTCCCCACGGCATTGCCTCCCTGCCAGAACTCTTGGTTAGATCCTGTTCAACCCATGTTTCAGGCTTTATGGCTTCCACATCCACTTCAGGCCTTGCGGCCCACCCTCCGGCTTAAACGGAGCACCCCCAATCCATTCCCCACACCTCTGAGCTTGCATTGTGTCCTAGGACTGCAGTGGGCAGGGGCAAGGCCTGCTTGGTCATGGAATCCCGCCTGCCGTTCCTTCACCCCTAGTCACAGGATCCCTTCCTTGATAACGTCCCTCTGCTCGGACACCTCTACTTCCTGTGGCACCCTGGCCTCCGATCGTAGGCAAGTTCTTCCCCGTGTTGAGCTGTTTGCCCCATCAGCTTCAATGCAATCTCCTTCCCAACTCTTGGTTGCAAGTGATGAAAACTCAGCTTAGACTGGTGAGCAAAAGAGGGGATTTTATTGACTCAGGTCCTGATAAGTGCAGGAGTAAAACTGGCTCGGGCATGACTGGATCTAGGCTCCCTCATCCCCACCTTTCCATCCATCTGCAATCTCTTGGCTCTGCCTACCTCTGGGTTGACTTCCTTCTCAGGGAGGCTGTCTCCCTGTGGAGGCCCAGCAGTTTCTGGCTTACTTCCACCCAGCGTAGCAGCCCCAGTACAGCGAGGGTGCCTCTCTTGGAACCAGTCTTGGGTCATAGGCCCCATCCCTGAACTGGTCACTACGGCTAGGAGAATGGACTCCTATGCCTGCCTCCTGGGGCAGGGGGAGATCAGCATCACCTGGGCCAAAGGAAGATGGGAGTGTTAGAAGCAAATAAAGAAGAAATGGATGGCCACAGGTTACAGCAATAGCTAGCCACCCCCCCCTCCCCCCCACATCCGTCCTTGTCCATCTCAGTAGGAAGGGAGCACTTCCTCCATGTTCCTGATCACTTGTCATCTCCTGGGCTATTTATTCTCCTTGTTTTGTGCTCTGGTCACTTACAGTAGAGGTTTTGCAAAAGCTCTTCCTTCCATTGGCTTGATGGTCCTTCCTCGCCCTTCCTCTCCCCTCCAACTGATACCTGAGTTAACCCATGCAAATGCTTAGAACAGAGCTTGGCATATAAGCCTCTGAACATGTTAGCTGTTACTCTGTTGACTGTTAATACAAGCCCATCTGTCCTCCCAGAAGTCTGATAGTCCTGGTTGTGAATCTGGGCTCTGCCCTTCCCTGGTTGTATAACCATGGACACGGTATTTTGCCTCAGTTTTCTCATTTGCAAAAGGAGATCATCCCAACCCCCTGGTGTCGTTGTAAGAATTAAATGAGACAGTGCCTGGCACAGTGCAAGGACCCAGTAGGTGGTTATCATTTGTATGGTTGCTATTACCAATACAAAGCCTTTCCTGACCTTCCCAGTTAGAGTTAAAAAGCACTTTGATCCTGTATTTAGCTCTTTCTTCATTCTGCCTTGCGGTGTGGCAACACCTCAGCTTTCCTGTCTGCCTCACTCACCAGGGAGAGTCCAGAGGGTAAGGCCGGTGGGCCTCCCAGGGCCTAGAAGAAGGCAAGGGCTCTGTAAATGTTTGCTGACAAGGGAAGATATCCTTCCCAGCTCCCTTTCCTGAAAGCAGGGTTGCGAGCTGCTCTGGGGATGCAGGTGGAGCTAGCTCAGTCTCTGTCCCCTGGTTGCAGGTACGAGAATGGAAGGAGCAAGGCAGTAAGACCTTCATGTGCACGGGGCGCCCTGGCTGGCTCACCGTCTCGCTCCGGGTTGGGAAGTACAAGAAGACACACAAAAACATTATGATCAACCTGATGGACATTCTGGAGGTGGACACCAAGAAACAGGTGAGAGTGGCATGGTTCCCGGCACTGGGAGTGGGCGGGGCACTGCCCCTGGTCCAAGTGACTTGCAGCGAGATGATTTCAGCCAAGGGCATCCCAGAGTGGATAGGACTGAGGACCTTGGTCATCACAGAACGCCCTACTGACCACTGCCAGCCTCAGAAGCCTCACAGCTTTGAAAGAGATTAGTTATAGCCCCATCTCACAGGTTGGCAAATTGAGGGTTCAAGGGGATTCTTTGATTATCTGCAGTTCCACAGGAAGACAGATGGGGAAATCCTGGGCAAAATGAGCGACAGAGGGAACCTATTTAGCCTCTGCTGGTAAGGAAGTATGCTGGCAACCAAGGGGCTGTGGAAGTAGCTAGGAGGGTGGGCCTTGTCCCAGGCTTCTGGGGACCCACTTGTTAATAGCTGTGGACACATGCAGACTCTTTGGCCTATCTAGTAATTCTATTCTAAAACCTGGCTAAGGAAACAGGAAGCAAGCTTTAATCAAAGACAACACAGAGAAAGGTTGTACCACAGCTTGCTTGCTTTCTTCCTTTCTTTCAATCACAGTTTCATTTCCAATCCAAGACAACACAATATCCAATAGTAGGGAGTTATTAGATATATATATATATCCACATGATGGCATTTTGTTTTGAGGCCTTGGCCAAATTACATAATCTCCTGTGCCTTTCCCCCCTACATAGCTGTATTGAAATATACTTGATATATGATAAACTACACATAACGTACAATTTGATAATATATTTTGACACATGTATGTGTACACCTGTGAGACCATTACCACAATCAAGACAATGAATAATACCAATCACCCCAAAAGTTTCTTCCTGCGCCTCGGTAATCCCTTTTGCAGGCCCTCTCTGCCTCTTCCCTCACATCTCTAGGCAAATAATGACTTGCTTTTTGTCACTGTAAATTTGTTTGCAGTTAGACTTTTGTAGACATGGAACCATGCATATGTACTTTTGTCTGGTTTATTTCACTCAGCATAATTATTTTGAGATTCATCCAGGTTGAAGCATGTGTCAGAAGTACATTCTGTTTTATTGCTGAGTAGTATTCCATTGTATGAGAGGAAGGGAGAGGGAGAGAGATAGAAACATCAATGAAAGAGACTAATTGATTGGCTGCCTCCTGCACGCCCCCTACTGGGGATCGAGCCCAAAGACCCGGGCATGTGCCCTGACTGGGAATCAAACCCGGGACCTCTTGGTCCATGGGAGGACGCTCAATCCACTGAGCCACCACAGCTGAGCCCAGCAAGAAATCTCTTATCCTTATCTTTGTTCCTCTGTATGTTACATGTCATTTTTCTCCGCCAGCTGTTTTTAAGATTTTTCTCTTTATCACTAGTTTTGAGCAGTTTAATTATCATATTCCCTGGTATAGTTTTCTTCATAATTCTTGTGCTTGGGATTCATTATAATTTTCATCAAATTTGGAAATTTGGTTATTTCTTCAAGTATGTTTCTGTCTGCTACCCCCTCTTCTTTGAGGACTGCCATCACACATATATTAGGCCACTTGAAGTTGTTCCACAACTCACTCTGATACACTGTTGATTTTTTCTTCCTAGAATGTTTCGTTTTGAATAGTTTCTATTGCTGTGTGTTAAGTTTGCTGCTCTTTTCTTCTGCAATGTCTATTTTCTGTTAATCCCAGCTTGTGTATTTTTCATCTCAGACATTGTGGTTTTTATTTCTGAAAGTTTGATATGGGTCTTTTTTTTTTTTTTTACTATCTTTTTAATGTCTTTATTTAACTTTTGAACATAAGGAATACAGCAGTAATTATTTTAATGCCATTGTTTGCTAATTTTAATATCTGTCAAATCTGGGTCCATTTTGTCAAAACAGATTAATGAGTTTTCTCCTCACTGTGGGTTGAATCTGTCTGCCCCTTTGCGAGCCTAGTAAACATAGATTGGATTTTAGACATTGTGCATTTTACCTTGTTGGGTGCTGGATATTTTTGTATTCCTATAACCCTTCTTGAGCTTTGTTCTGGGATATAGCTAAGTTACTAGGAAACAGTTTGATGCTGTTGGGTCTTGATTTTTCAGGTGGGGTCAGAGCAGCATTTAAATCCAGGGATAGCTATTCCCCTCTGGGAGGCAAGACCCTTCTGGGGACTCTACTCAATGCTGTGTGAAGCATGAGGTTTCCAGTCAGCTCGTGGGAACAGATACTGTTCCCTGCACTGTTACCTGTTGTCCTTTCTGGTGGCTCGATCCCTGGCCTCAGCCTCGGGTAATCTCCTTGTGTAGGCACTGGTCTGTACTCCGTTGAATACTCAGTGGGCACCCTTTGCAGCTCTTTAGTTTTCTCTCTGTACAGTTTCCTCTCCAGTACTCTGTCC